CTGGAAGTGTTCAGGCCAGGTTGGATGGGGCTCACAGCAACCTGGGCTAGTGAAAGGTGTCCTCTCCATGGCAGGGGATTTGGACTAGATGAGCTTTAAGGTCCCTGTCAACCCAAACCATTCTGTGCTTCTCTGCAGGAAGGCACCAGAACTTTATCTTTCTGAAGGAATACAGCTTAACAAAGGGAGCAGAAGTTGTATTCAAACTGCATCACATTTGAAATTACTCTCTAGAGAAACAGAAATGCAAGTATTGGTGACTTCTCTTCATTTTTGTGGTATTTTGTGGCCTTTTTGTGCCACAAAAGAGCAGGATTTGTCATTGCTGCACTGAGATTTAATGGCAAGGCTGTCTGATAGAGGTTAGTTGATCCAATGTTTCCTGGCCACTGGATAGGAGCATTTTCCTTCCAAGCCATTCTCTGTCTCTCCTCAGGGAAGCAGATGGGCAGAATCTCCTCTGGATTGCTTCAGTCCTGTCATGTGAGCACACTTCATGTCCTGCACTCACATCCTCCCCAAACACACCAGTGTCAACCTTCCTCAGCTCCTACACAACCCTCTGCTGCAGTATTAATTTGGAGAGTTAGTGGGATTTTGCTAAGTTGAAACTGCTGTTTTGTCAACTGATGAAAGTTTTCTGGAGAGTGGATGCTTTTCTCCAGGGACTGGGGTTGCAAATTGTGTTGGTAGAATGTAGTCTTACGTATTACTAAAGAAAAAGCTTTGGTGAAATAGGAAAGATGCATGTGGTGCAGCAAATCAAACCTCCAGCTGTGTAAACAGATCAATAAACTGATTTGTGTTTGCTGACCAGAAGAAAAATCTAATTGCAGGTACTCCATATTCAACATTTGTGGCGAAACTAGAGTAATTGGAATAATGAGAAATCCAATGTGCTTTTGTTTGGAGTTTATTCTTCTTTAGGATTCATTAAACTGGATGGGCCTCTGAAGGTTTAGGCTGGTTATATATCACAGTTCCTAGGCCTTCAGACTTCAAAGGTTTCTTCAAATTCCAAATCATCACATTTTCCATCTTTTAATAAGACTTCAAAAGATTGAAGTAATATTGTTCCTGGCATTTAAAGGCTGATTTCACTCACCAGAATCTCATTTGACTGAAGTTTGAATGCATCTGGACAGCAAAATAGCTCCTGGGTTGCCTTAATTTCCAGGTTTCTGCAATTACTTACACCTGGAAGAGAAAACAATGCTCTCCTGCATGTCCTGAAGATGTATTTCCAAGTACTGTTGTGCCAGTTCTTGAATACTTTTCATTCAAGCATCTCTTGCATTTATTTGGACTTAGGTAAAAAAGAGAAGATGGAGGTGCTGACATGATTGCATTTGTGTGAGGGACCATATTCAGAAAGGTAAAAGGTTTTAGGGTAAGTGGGGAAGAAATACCCAGGAAAAACCATGAGATTGGAGTTGTGTTGATGTGTTTTCTTTATGTGAGGGGGACAAAAGCCGTCTCAGGGTGGGTATCTTAAGTAATTTCAATTGCCAGTAACAGAAATGAAGATGGTAGTGAAGAGTTCTTAAAAAGTTACTGCACAGAGAGCAAACTGTCACCTGCATTTACCTTCACTTAGGGTTAAAGTTGGTAAATTTCATAGATGTATCATTATCTTGGATGTCCTATCAGGATTGTTTGGAAGTGGAAAATGAGTCCTCTGTGAAGGAAACATTCTGTGGCTCCTGGGAGGAGGAGAGGGAAAGAAGGAATTGGGGGTTGATGGAGTGTAGCCAGGGGTTACAGGGGTTATGAGTTTGTGATTTTACCTGAATGAATAGCTGAAAGGGAGTTATTAAAAAAACTTACATAAAATGGGTCTTTAAAAGCTTTTCAAGGCAAGCTTGGAAGAGTGGATGCAAAACCTCTTGTTGCCTGGGTTTCATTTGGATCTGTCCATTGGTGGAAAAGAGAGCCCAGAGGTCCGTAGCTGGAGATCCTGAGTGTGGAGGGAAGGTGACGTGGTGCCAGCTGACATATGGTACCACCTGGGATTAGCTGAGATTATACCAATGAAGATTAAATCCTGCAAGTTGATTCCCCTTGCTGTTATTTAACAAATGAAGTACCTTATCCAAAGTCTGCTGGAAATCTATAGGCTTGCAATGTGATTTATGTTCCCCCATGGCAGGGCAGATTCAGCTTTTTGGTTCTCTTGTGAATACCATGAAGGCTGAACTCCTCAGTGGTCCATCATTCTACAAAACAGACCAGTGTGTTCAGTTACAATTGAACCTTTATTGTGGTTTGCCTGACTAATTTGAAAACGGATTTTTGCTATTTCATTTACCTTCTTTATAAACAAACACTTTCAGGAGTCTGTGATCAAAATTTGTCCCTGTTCTATTCTAAAAAGCACCTGTTTTCTTTCTTACCATTCATTGACAAGGTATATTTCATCAGCTAAGAAAAAGTCATTTAAGGCAGGTTGTGACAAATTAATTTTATTTATATATTATATTATAATTATATTCTTTATAAAGCAGTAGACAGGGGAAGAAGAAATGGCATCAAGTTGCGCCAGGGGAGGTTTAGATCAGATATTAGGAAAAAGTTCTTCACTGAAGGTGTGGTGAGGCACTGGAACAGGCTGTCCAGGGCAGTGGTGGAATTACCATCCCTGGAAGTGTTGAAAAAACCTGTGGATGTGACCTTGAGGAAATTATTTAGTGCTGAACATGGCAGTGCTGGGTTATGGTTGGACTTGATGATCTTCAAGGTGTTTTCCAACATTAATGATTCTATGACAGAAAAGCTAGAATTTTTATTTTATTAATGGATTTAATTATTGAAATGTAGAGTGGAGTTGATTTGTTTGAAGCACAGAAGTGGTATCTGTTTTGCAGGAGAAGGCTGTGCTTCCTCCCTGAGCACCAAGTATTTCCATTTCTATTCTGAATATGTTCAGGAAGATTTATAGGTTTTTATTCACATAGCAATATTTTCCTTATACCAAGTAGTTAATATCATTTTCAGTCTCTTCTCTTGCATAGTTACTGGCAGTGATCATGTATCCCACTTCAGCTGAGTAAGCCAGACTGTTTTAGTCCTTGTAAAATAAGACTGTGGTACCCTGATCCCCCTCACAGCCAGTTCCTCAACTAAAGTTCAAGTTCACCTTCCCAGGCCATGCACTGACAGGCCGTGGGCTGGGAGCAGTGCTGTAACTCTTACACCATCCTCCTTTTCATTAAAAAATCCTCCCAGGGATCTGTTCTCTTGCTGGTGCCTTGAATCTTTTGAAAAGAAAATTGCTTTCTATAGCAATGAATTACAAACCTCCAAAAAATCAGGACATACCTTTTTTAGACCTTTTGCACAAGAAAAGGGCATTATTTCTGGTTGTACAGTCAGTGAACCCTGAATTCTAAAATAGCTGTGTGCTTTTCTTCCTCACCCAATGAAGAGAATGAGAGACATGGAATAGCAGACTTTTGCTTTTTTAACTAGACACGGGTGGGTCCACTCAGTTACATATATATCACCATTATTATATGGAAATCTTCATTGCAGGAATCTGCCCAGGCTGTTTTTAATGAAGCTTGGGATGTGATCTCCACAGAATTGAAAAATTCAGTATTGGTGGTTTCAGGACAGGTGAGACCCCCAAAATACCCAGTGATTGCAGAAACCTGCTCTTGCCTGGCTCCATTTGGGATTTTCTGTTTTTTTTCATGCTGCCTCCTCCTCTCTATCCTTACAGTGGAGGGTATTTTGTCACATTTATTTCCACCTTTGTCCACAGCCCAGCCTTCTCCTCATGCTGAAGGAAATGTTCTCACTTCCCAACGTAGTGCAAATACAGTATTTTGTCAGAAATGAAACAGTTTAACATTTGTGGTTGTAGGTGTTTGACTCGTAAGTTGTTATGGCCATTCTTGGGTGTGCTGAGAGGATATTTATTATAGGACTAATTAATTATTTTGGGCTTGTTTCTTTAAAACTAGCATATTGGAAAACAAATTCTTTCCTCTTTCCATGGTAAACATAATTGAAAATTTCTTATACCTCACATTTCTATATATTTAGAACATTTTATGGGGGTTGTTTCCAGCTGGGCTGAGCTGCTGTACCAGGGTTAACAAGTAGCAACATCTAAATTTCCATGTGGGAGCGAGACCAAGTTCCACAGCGGAAAATTCTGCCTAGTTTTGGTTCCAGGATCAGTGCAGAGGTCAGTGCTTCCTCCCTAGATGTGTGCCTTAGGATGAAGAGTCAGAAGAGCCCTGTGGGTCTGGTGTCAGAATCCTGGGGGTTCTGATAGGGCTCCTGTCCCTGCAGTGACACTTGGACAGGGGAGGGTCTGCAATCAGATACAGTTACTGTGCTTCTGTGTCTTCTAATAGTTGTGTGACTTTGGGAGCTGATGTGAGAAGATGAGGTAGGAAGGACCAGCAGCTGGAGCAGGCCACGGTTCTGGGATCCTGTGTGTGTCACGGTGCAGCAGCTGGAGCAAGCACAGGCGTGTGGTGGGTGTGTGAGTGAGTGTGTGACTGCTGGTGAACATGGGGCTGGACAAGGGGGAAAGGGCCTGGAGGCTGGGGGTGTCCATGTGTGTGTGTGTTAGACACAAGGACAAAACTCCAGGAGGATCTGGGGACCCAGTGGACCAGGGAAGTCCCGGCCACTGCTGGAGAGATGGTTGGATCTGACTGAGACCCTTGAGTGTGTGCGGTGGATGTGGAAGTGTCTGCAGGCTGGAGGATCAGCTACTGAGTGCCTGAATCCAGCTGCTGGAGGGATCTACTCTGCACCTGTGTACCTGCAGATGTTTTCCATACTTCAGCCTCTTCCCCTAACATGAAGTAATTGTGTCTCATTCTTGGGCAGATACTGCTAGTTACAGCTTGGAAGATTTGAGGGTAAAAGAGAGAAGGGAAGCAGCACAACGCCCCAAAGCACCTTGCAGACATGGGAAGAATTAATTAATCAGCAAAGCTGTGCCGGGATGTTTCATTCCAACCATCTCTTTTGTGTTTCAGCCCTGGCCCAGTGTGTCCAACCTGGCCAAGGATTTCATCGACCGTCTGCTCACGGTGGACCCCAGTGACAGGATGACGGCCCTTCAGGCCCTGAAGCACCCGTGGGTGGTCAGCATGGCCGCCTCCTCCTCCATGAAGAACCTGCACCGTTCCATCTCGCAAAACCTTCTGAAGAGGGCGTCCTCCCGCTGCCAGAGCACCAAGTCAGCGCAGTCCACCCGCTCCAGCCGCTCCACCAAATCCAACAAGTCGCGGCGCGTGCGGGAGCGGGAGCTGCGGGAGCTCAACCTGCGCTACCAGCAGCAGTACACGGGCTGAGCGCCTGCCGGGCGCCCTGCCAGAGGTCTCCTCTGTGCTGCAGGTGTGCACACACTCAGCGAGGAACAGCCAGGTTCCTCCCTCCCTCCCTCCAGGCGTTCCCCCCATCCATGAGGAGGTGTCCCCCTCACCCCATGCGGAGGAGAGGGAACCTTGTGGTGGCCGTCACACCCTGCGAGCCGTGCCACGGGGTCTCGCGCCAGAAACGGGGGAGTCCTTGTGGGCTCAGAGCCTCAAGGAGTGCACGAATTAAGGAGCCACGTGGGGAGAAGAGCTCTTTCTGTAGCCCAGGAGCTTGGTTGTTCATAGTTATTTATTAATTGCAGAGCGTTTAGTTTCTCACGTTTGTGTATGGAAAAAAGAAGAAATCGCTTAGTGTGTCTGTGCATGCACACCCATGTGTGCACATACACGTGTGGGGGTGTATATGTATTTAAAAATTATGTATACACAGATTTTGAGCTGGTTTAGTCAGACTCCGTGGTGGCTTTGCAGTGAAACTGGAATGAGTCATGTGCAGTTAGAAGTGGGATAGCTCTGACTCACTGGTGTGCTGCCCACCAGCTCCTCACCAAAGAGATGCCAGACAGCAGTTTTCCACCAGGGCTGGGAAGCTGCGAGGTTTCCCCCAAGGGCTGCCATCCTCCTGATGACGTCAAGGCTCACTTGCCTGACATCAAAGGTTTATCCCTGGAATTGTCCTTTCCCTGTTTGCAGCAAGACCAGTGCCTGTCGTGCAGGGTTTGTTTTTCTTGTGGCTCTGTTGTGTCTCTGACACGTAACACACCTTGCACCCTTCAGAAGAAGATTGAGAAGGTTGAGGTTTTTTGTGCTAAGGGGGAAAAAAGAGGGAGGAAGTTTTAGGGATGTGCTTCCCACCCCAGAGCTGGGATGGGCTATAACCACTGTAAGCACAGTGTTACTGACCACGTCACTGCACCAGACTTTGGTGGTTCCAGGCCAAAGATTTGACAGGGCTCCCCTGCTTTGTGTGCCTGTGCTGCCCCAGCACTGCCATCCCTGCTTTGGGACAGTGGTGTGGGAGCTGTTGGGGTGGCCAGTAGTGGTTCCATAGCATCAGGGTGAGCGCTTGAGTAGTGGAAGCCTGGTCTAGGAGTGTCAGCAGGGAGAATACCCTGGAGACATTGTACAAATCCCCTAGAGCTGTGAGGGGTGACTTAAGTTCACCAGGAAAAAGCTGCTTTTCAGGTGTCCTTGTGCCACGTAGCTGATGAGGTGGCCTCTTATGAAGGACTCTCAGGGGAGGTGGGGGCTGCAGAGCTGAGCTTTGTGCAAGCCTGCTGAGATATCTTCCCAACTAGTTAGAGCAGTAAAGTGGGGCTGATGGCAGAGGCACAGGATGGATTTGGCTTCTCATGGTAGCAGAGACAAGATCAGCAGCGAAGGAAAATGCTGGTGCTCGAAACTTTTCTTACGAAGCCACACAATTCACTTTGTGCTGTGCACTTGGGAAGGGCTTGCTTGGCTCTGGGCTGGAGGTGCAGGCAGTCCAAGCTCAAGGGCTGGTGAGCTTGGCCTTTTCCTAGGATTGATGCCTGTGCTACTGTGTTTCAGTGTCAGCAGGGCTGAACTGGTCAGTCACATCTCCAAGGAGCTCTCACAGTCACTCCTAGTCAGCAAACAGCAAAGCTGCTTTAGTGGGAGAAGATTTGAGTTTTCTGTGCTGAGGCAAAAAATGAAAGGGGGATTTCTGGGGGTGTGCTTCCGGCCCCAAAGGTGGGATGGGCTGTAAATAGCCTGGTGTGCTCAAGCATGTGGTGGGGAATGCAACAGAAGAAACTTGAGGACAGCCACTATGTGTAGCAGGAGTGAATTTGAAATCCTTTGCGTGGTTTTGCCTGTTATTTTGAAAACCTCACATCCTCTGCAGGCTGCCCTTTCTCTGAGCAACCTGTCCTACCATGTCGCACACAGTCTTTCTTCCATCAGCATTAACAGGTACTGCAGAATTCTGCAAATTTTGGGTTTCTTTCAACTCTGTGGTCTGCAAACAAAAATGTTTTCAGCATCTTTTACCTCTTCACGTTGTTTTTCCCTAGTTTGTTACCATGAGCTATAAACTAGATGTGATTTCTGACAAAGCAGGCAGCTTGCTACATTGTGCTTCATAAACAGTTTGGTGTCCCTCGTGGTACTGCAAACAGGTCTCCAAAAGCAGGAGCCCCTCTAAGGCCACTATCAGCTGGACCCTGGGGGCTCTGCAGGTCAGGTGGTGGCAGGAGGCTCCCTCGGAGCTCTTCTGGTTCTGAGCCATTACTTGAAGAGGCTTTGGTGTGTTTGGAGCTCACTTGAAGCACTGTGATTGCTTTTACCTCCCCAGATTATCCTGCATGTTTATCCATAAAACAGGGATTTTGCCTGTGTGAGGGTGTCAACCTGATGAACTGAGCCAAGACTTGTAGAACTGAGACCCTTCCCCTTAACCACTAGATCATCAAAATGCACAGATGCCTGCCCATGCTGTTCCTTTATCCTTCTCTTATGGGATGAGGAATACATAAAGCTCTGGGGTAACCAGGCTTGTTTCTCCACCTTCACAAAGCAGAACAAGAATCTTCTCATCTGTGACAATTTTTGCTTTGTTGATCTTTTCCACAACTGTTTTTTCACCAGGAGGAGTTTGGAGCGATCGTTTGTGGTTACTTTGGGCTGGAATATGTTTTGGGAAGCAGGAGGTTGCTGTGTAGGTTTCTGACAGTGTCAGGTTTTGGTGGTGATGCTCTGTGACTAGGGGAGAATTGGCAGAAGGGAGGATCCTCATGTACATGAGAATACTGGATAGCTGCAGCTGCCTCTCCGTATTGAGGTGTCTCCGGTCCTCGGGCACTCCACTGCTTGGGACTTGTGGGAAGAGGACCAAGGCCATCCCATAAAGAGCTTTGACTTTTCTAAAAAAAGAACTCTAATTCTTTTCACAAATGCAACGTTTTCTTGTTTGCATGGAAAAAAACAGTGTAAACTTGGGAAAATCTTTACAGGCTTTCCTTCCATCATTCAGTTTTAACACTCTTGGCTCGCTCCCTCTTCTTTTCCTAAATCCAGTATTTGTAGGAACTTTGTAGCCAGACGTGTGGGCTGAGGGAAGATGAACAGACCTCTGTCCAAGTGACCCTGGAGTCCTCAGTGATCTTTCACTCAGTCTGGAAAACTGTGATGGTCCAAATGCCACGTTGGAAGTTCCAGCTTAAGAACAATTCCTCAGGTGCTTTTATTCTTGCAAGAGGGACAGGTTTCCAGTTTGGGTCTGGTGTGGGGGTTGGGGACAGGCAAAGTGCTGTAATTCTGAGCCATAGTCCAGGTGCCTTCAATCTGTCCTCTAAGAAGCTCTTCACTGTGAATTACATTGATCATCTGTCTTCATCCCACAGGAGCAGCTCAGTACTCAGTTGGTCTTAAGTCTCAGGAGTTTACACTTTTCAGGAGTGCCTTTTTTTGGGGATTTTAGAAACTAAAATCTCTCTGAAATTTTTTTTTTCTGCTCTTTCATTTAATTTTTTTGATGTGCTTTTACTCTTAATGGTGGTTCTTAATTTGGCCTGCAGAGTGTTTTTTGGAAACCTTCCTCTGGTCCTGAATGTGCAGGGAGGACAGAGGTAACACCTGCCTGTTCCAGACCACCATGCCATGCAGTCTCTGTATTAGCTGGGGTGCAGATCTGAGTTTTCTTCTGCTTTGCCTGCTTTGGTTCACGCAGGGGAAGTGGAGTTGGAATGACACCTAGTGGCAAATTGTGGTGTGTCCTTGTCCAAGCACAGCCCTCTCCTCGCTGTTTCTGGGTGAGATGCTCTTTGAGGAGTAAAGGGAATTTAGAATGTCTTTTGGAACTTAGCAGTACTGTGCAAAACAATCCCATCCTTTTGTCCTGGGAGTTCGGCTACTCTCTTGGGGGAGAGAATTACAGCTTCAAAGAATGTGGCCTCTTGGTTCCTTGATTTTTATTATTTTTGTTGTTGGTTATTGGAAAAGAATGCAAAAAAGTCTTCCAGAAATTGCATTAAGAGGTCTAAAGATTCGCATCCAAGTTCTTGAGTACGTAGTGTATTTTCCATAAGCAGTTACCATGTTTAATTTACTTCTCACTCAGGCTTCTAAAAATCTTAACACGTCAACCCAGTGGGGGTAGAAACCACCCTTCCTTTGATTCTGAAGAGGTTTAACACTGCAGTTGTGATAGCATCCAGATGCTCCTGCTCTGTGTTGTTCTTGGAAGCACACAGCTGTACGTGAAGGAAAGCTTGAGAGCCTTGTCAGGAGCTCAAGCCCAGACGAGAGGGCTCAGACCTGCCTGCTTTGGTAGTGATGTGGAAACCAGCTGCAGTGTAGGGCCTGCTTCACGTGTTTGTTCTGGACATGATAAACCCTCACACTCTTTGGAATCTGGGCACTTTCCTCTTTTAGGCCAGATATTTTCTGTTCTGGTAATTTACACCATTTCTGAGGCCCTGCTCCGTTTCTCAGTCCTGTTGTCTACCCGGGTGTTTGGCTGCAGTACTAAGAGAGCCAACTTTTATCTGATGCACAAACTGGAATAGGAATGATGGTTCACTTGGCTGCTGGGCAGCAGCTCTGGGTTTGGCTCTGCAGGAGCTGTGGCAAGTCCTAGGGCAAGGTAAAAGCTTATGTATAGTGCCTTTGAGAACCTGCAGTGCAGGCTCAGCTCAGTCTTGTACCACATAGGGCAGCTACTGTGTGGCTGTTACAGGCTTCTAATTAGGCTGTGTGGGGCCATGTTATTTTAAATAATGATACTGAAGATTTGGGGGGGGTTGAGGTGGGATAAATTAAAATCTCAGTTCTTTCACTTAATTTAGTTTTCTAAATGATGGAAAGCAACACAGACATTGGCTTCTTTGGCACCATTGTGAGCCCTAGAATTTGCAGGAAGGGTGGTTGTGTCCAGGCCTCTCAACCACTCAGCTTTCTCCCAGAAAGTGTCACTGTACCACTCAGTGCATGTACCCAGCCCCAAGTTGCCTTCACCACTCTTGGGAGGGTTTTGGTGCTTTTTTTGACCACTCAGTCTCCTCTTTCACCCTGGATTAAGAGTGCAGCACTCCAAGTCAAGTGCCTGCATGTCAGCTGTGCCTTACTGTGCAGAAAACTTCCCAAAGAAATAAATGTGAACACCAGGGATGTGCGGTGGTAAGCGGCATCGTGGAGCTCAGTGCCTTCCGCCCTCGGGGTGCCGAGGGCATTGGGAGCTCTGCCTGGTGACAATTGTCCCTTCTCCCCCTGTCCCCTGCCTGGTGATGCTGTCAGTCCCTCGTGTGTGACGGGCAAGCTCTGGCTGCTGTTGCAGAGGCCGTTGCACTGTTTGTCTGCTGAGCGTGGAAGCGATGTGTGGAGCAGATCCGCGGCCCCGGCGAGGTGTGATACAAACCAGCAGCTCCTGCATGAACACCCAGATGAGTTTTCCTGTTGCCTTTCACTACGGAAGGACACCTCCCGGGAAGCTCTTGGGATCGGAGATCTTCCGGCACTCGATGTTATTTTTGGTTGCCCAGTTTCCGGTGCTGGGTTGGAACAGTTTGGAGGTGATTCCGGTCTCATCCTGTCGGTCTCCTCATGGGACTGTCTTGAGAAGTGTCCCATTCTGTGCCTTGCCTTTCGAGTCCTGGCTCTACTCTAAGGTCCTGTCAGATGAGGTCAGACCCATTGTAATTAGTCTGTAATGTTCAAGTTAGAGTGTACAGAATTATTTATTTGGTGTACTCGGTCTGCTAAAACATGTCCATGTATTCTGTGTACCCCATGGCTCTGCTGTCCTTACTTGTGCCTGGTGGATCACCCACGGGCTGGCTGCTGGAGGGCAACGATTTCCAGGCTGGGAATGATGGTCAGTAAGTACATGGAGAGCCAGGAGGTTCTCACCCCTCTGTTCTTAGATCACAGCAAGAGGTACCAAAGTGCCCATCAAAGGGTTTGCTGGTTTCTTTACCACAGCTGCCAGGCCAGGAGCTGTCCAAGGCAGACTTTGTGCGGGGCTGGGATGTCCATGGGATGCCCTGGATGAGGCAGGCACTCAGGCTGTTGCTGGAAGATATGGTTGGGAGGCAGAACAGGCACTTTGGGACATTCTCTTTATTTTTCTTTGGCTGTAGACTGAGCCAGAGGAATGCTCTGATTTCTCCACACCCGCTCATCACCACTCCAGTTTTGGTCTGAGCAGCTTTTAAGGACCAGCAGGAAAACTTGTAATATCAAGTAATAACAATGCACACCCCTCTTGAGCCACCTCCTCTCCAGGATTTTCCAGGGGCAGAGGACCCCATCCCAGGGGTGGCAGAGGTGACAGGCAGCTCAGCACACAGACCAGATGACCTATAGTGCTACAGTTGGTCATTCCTGTTTGAAGTTCCCTACAGCCACCACTTCTCTCTGCCTGCATGGTCCATCCCCACATCTCTGTTGTTCACTTGCCTTTAAGGTGAGTTAGATGCTCCCTTCAGAGCAGACCACTGAATAAAACAAACTCTTACCCAGCCAAACTAAAATTTGTTAGCCCTAGGCTTTAATTGAACAGATTTTTATTTAAACTCAGTCATGTGGGCCAGACTGTTTGTGTTTGCCCTCCATTGATGTTCCATACCCCTTCCCATCAGTGTGTCCCTGTGTAGTGTCACACACTCTGCTTAATAGAGCGATTACATTTTGGGGGCTGTGATTCACACAGTGAAGGTGTTGTATCACCTTCACATCACTGGTAAGGAAAACTAAACCCCACATCTCATGTTGGGACAGTCTAATCCTGCTTCTTCTCTCCACAGTGCCTTATCACCAGCTCTATTTTGAGAACCAGATTGTAACTCATTGAGCATGTGTCTTGCTACTCCCATATCACACAAGGCTTTTTTTTTTTCCACCAGCTATTGTCTCAAGAACCCATTTAAGTGAAAGCCTGTCACCTGGCCTTGAAATTTGTTTTCAGCTTCACATTTTCCTTTGCAGTGGCCTTCAGTTTCCTGCCATTACCTGGCAGATCTGCAGGTGTGAAGCTGCGTGCTGCTCTCCAGCCATCCTCTCCCACCTTCCCCAAGAGTTGGAGCTGCCCATGGCAATTCTCCCTTCCAGCTCTGTGCTCCCAGCTGCTACACAAATCATGGCTTTAAACTGTAGGCAGGGATCCTTTAGGATCCTGTGTACCCAACACCCACCTTTCACTGCCAGCTGAGCAGTGCTTTGTGGTGCAGAGCTGCAGCTCCACAGTCCCTTCCCTGGTGGCACCTCACACCTGGGTCAGTGGGAGGACCATTCTCCCAACCTTCAGCACTACCTAGGTTGGTGCCAGGGTGTGCTTGAAGACCCCCTGAGTAGCCCTTGAGCCACAGCCAGCCCTGCTCCCCCTCTGCCTGAGCATCCTGTCCTAGTTTGGTAGTTCCCCCTCTGTCCCAGCTGGGCACCAAGCTCCAGCTCTGGGAAGTGCTGGCGTTCAGGACAAGCATGGGGTGCCCCAGGCTCCTCCATGTGTCTTTCACCCTGCCCTGCATTGTGAGAAGAAAGGAGCCAGAGGCAGTACTTGGTACAAGCAAATGCTGATGCTTTATTAATCCCAGTAAAGGGATCACACTGGCAGCAGCTTTATCCCTGAGCAACGATGGTGTCGATCCAGTTACGGAACTGGCTGACACGAGTGTATATGGCTGGCGTGTTGATGTTGCAGTTGGAGGTTCCCCAGGAGACAATGCCAATCAAGATCCAGCCATTCCCAGTCTGGTACACCAGAGGTCCACCAGAGTCACCCTGCAGAGAAGATTCTTGCTTAGTGCTCCTGGCACTTGCTCCAGACCAGTCCCTGCCACCCCAGCCACCTGATCCCCAGGTGTTGCAGCTTAAATATCTGGTTCCATAAGTGCAAGACCCCATGTACGCTGCTCTTCCACCCTCCCTGGGATGCAATGGGAGCTCAGCAAGACCCCACATATCCTCCTCCTCCTCCACCCACCCTGTGCAGCAGGAGCTCCTTACCTGGCAAGAGGTGGCACCAGCCCCACCGGCACAGATCATGGCACTGGTGATTTTATTGCCCCAGTACTGCATGCACTGGTTCTGGGGGATCAGGGGCACAGTCACCTGCTGCAGAACTGCTGCCAAGGCTTGAGCTAGGGGAAAGAAGCACCATTAGATCACCTCGGTATCTGTGAGTCTCCTGGAGAGCACACAGGTGCCCTGGGCAAGCTTCCACTGGTGCATGGGTGCTGCCATACGAAGTGCATTCCTCCTCCATGCCAACAAACCCCTTCTTCCCCAGGATCACCTTGTGCAGGCAGCCCTGAGAAACGGCAGGCTTGTGCCTGTGCACAGTCATCCCTGGCTTTCACACACACCTACACCCCTGTGCACACTGGTACACACTCAGACAGGTTTACTCCACTTCCCAGCTCCCCCCTTCCCACACATACAGGACTTGTCACCCCCACAGGCACCCCTGAACCCTCAGAGCCCCGAGGAGGAACAGCAGCTACACACAGCCCTCCCTGAAGCTGCAGGTTACGTACAGTTGGGGTTGGTGCGTCCCCAGCCGGTGGTGACAGCGCGGGCGTTGTTGGGCAGAACCAGGTTGGCAGGGGCCAGGCAGATGGTGGACACACGGGAGCTCAGCTGGGCGGGCGTGGACAGCCTCAGCAGGGTGATGTCGTTGTTCATGGTGTAGGGGTTCCAGCCGGGGTTGGTGATGGCCTGCAGAGAGAGAAGCACCTCAGCACTTCGTGCCTGCCCTGTGGGAGCAGCCGCAGCGCAGAGCTGCAGCCCCGTCCCAGGACCAGGTCTCCTGGCTCACCCTGGACACGGTCTTCACTTGAATGGCCTCAGCGTTGGAAGCAAGGCTATATTCCCCGAGGACGACGACGTGGGTGCGCGGGCTGCGAGAGGTGAGAGGGAGTCAGGGGCGTGTGTCCAGCCAGCACCCCGGCTGGGAGCAGCACTGGGGGCAGCCACAGGCATGAGGAACCCAAGGGAAGCCACCACGGGGACAACTGGGGAGGAAGCCCTGGGCTGCTCAGGCCTTTGGGGCTGGCCCGAGTGCCACTCAGAGGAGCCCAGCGCCCTCCGAGCCCCTGGCCCTGGCCAGGCATCACTCCTTACTCGAAGTTGCAGTGGGCAGCTGTGACGACCCAGTACTGGCTGATCAGGGAGCCACCGCAGAAGTGGGATCCTGTGCGGGTCTGGGGAGGGAAGAGAGAAGAGCTGGGGCTGGGCTGGCTGAACACCCCCAAGCTGGGGATAGGCAGAGGTCCCCACGGTGCCCGACAGTGGCACTCGACTGGCCATAGCAGTGCCCAGGAGCGGGATGGTGCTGTACCTGCAGGGACACCTGCCACGGCCATGAGCCGGGCACAGCGTTCTGCCCGTTGACAATCCTCTCGTTGTAGGTCACCAAGGGACTGATGGCGGGCACCCCGCAGCCTGCAGGAGAGGCACAGGGGCACAAGGGTGACCCAAAAGCTCAGGACTCTTATCTGGGGGCAGCTTGTGCTGGCATGGGTGGCTCAGTGTCACCCTCCCTGGCATCCTGCTGCACCCCGAGGACCTTCCCACACCCATGGGCAGCGCTTACCTGAGACGGCGCTGGCAAGGGCCAGGCAGGCGACTACCCACAGGAACGCCATCCTGAAAGGAGATAGGCTGAACCCCTGGGGACCACGAGCTTTATAGCAGCCAGGGAGCCACGTGGCTCATAGCTGGCCGGGTTAAGGTCACCTTGTGGCCTTGCAGTGGGTAGCAGTGACAGGCACGTACCATGCCTCATGCAAACAGGCACATGGGAAGGTACTGTCAAAAGACACCTGGAGGGCTTGGGCTTTTGCTGTCATGGGTTGTGTTAGTTCTGACTGCAGCCTGTGGAGCTGGAGTGGGAGAGCACCACAGGGCTGTGATGGAGGAGGGCACAGGGGGCTGGCTGTGGGCACACAGCTGGGTTTGCAGTGGGGCTGGATGTGCTGGGGTGGGCACCAGTGCCTGGGGTGGGAGGTTATCCCGTGCTCAGACTTGTTTCAGATCTGTTGGGACTAGAGCTGTTTTTCCACATGGCCATGAAGTCCTGGCCTGAGCCAGAGGTGGTCCCAGCTGGATGTTCCCAGGGCTCAGGGCCAGCCTTTGAACAATGTCCGCGGTGCAAGTGAACAAGTGCCAGAACCAACGGGGGCAGGTGGGAAGGGGAGACACCTTCCCAGGCAGGTGGGAGCTGTGCCCCGCTGGACAAGCACATCATGAGCCCCAGGGAGGACAGTGGGCACCTCCTCAAGCTGAAGTTGAGCCCTCCACTGAGCATCCCTCTAGCACTGCAGCCACCTGACCCAGGGCTGGGGTCCCCTCTGTCCTGGACAATGGGTATGTAGTATCTGCATCCATCCCCTGTGTCCTGGATGATCTCCTGGGCTGGCACAGGGTACAGGGAGCCAGATCTAGGGTGATGCTGAACACAGGGATAGATCCCTCCCTCTGTGCCACCCACATACCCTGATCCCTGCCCCAACCCTTCAGGGAGCAGAGCCTGGACACTGGAGAGCGAGTGCAGAGCTTAGGCCTTTATTTGCAGCAGTGGTACCATGCAAGGACAGTGGGGTGTGGGCCATCCCAGGGTGGGAAGCATGGTAGAGCATGGAGGTCTCCCAGGTCACTGCAGGGGCTGGGCACAAGGGTGTAGGCAGGGACACAGACTGCTCCTGATCTTCATATGGCACCTGGGAGGAGATGCCAAGGGCTGGCAGCAGCAGAGGATGGAGGGAGAGCCAGTGCTCAGGGTGATGCTGCCCATCACGGAGGAACCTTGGAGCAAGGCAACACACCAGGCACGACCACACTCCATGCAGCTTGAGAGTCTCCAACTCCAATCCTGCATTGGATGCTGACAAATGAGCCAGAACCAGGAGACTGGCAGGTGAGCAGGAACTCAGAGCTGTCCCTTTGTGCCAGCAGGGATAGGGCTGATGGCACTGTCCAGGGTGGGGAGACCACCTTGTGCTCTTCTCTGCATCCGTGAGCCACGATGAGCTGGCTCAGCTGCTCAACTCCAGCCATGCAGGGCCCAGCTTGGTGGAGCAGCAACACCCAACCCCAGGGCTGAGCCCAGAGGACCTCCCAAGGCTGAAACCCTCCTGGCCAGCCTGGCCCCAGCAAGGCTCCAGTGTCCCTCAGAGTTGGAATGGTAACAGCCTCCCATGGCTGGGACACACTGGCTCAGGGAGCTGTCTGGAGACTTGGGGAAACCCAAACATCCCTGCAGCCCCATGGAGACGTGAATTTGCCCCAGCTGCAGACTCCTGTCCATTCTGCAACTCTTCTTTCTCCTGCAGGCAACGGGCCAGGCCTGAGCAGCCCCCAGTCACTGTCCCAGCAGGCCAGCAAAATAGCTACAGGTAGGATTTCCCCCAGTCCAGGGATCCCAGGACTGGTGCTTGCAGGGGACAATCTTCTAACAGGGCAAGACCAGAAGAGGGTGGCCTTTATCCAGACTGTCCCCAACACAGGACAAGGTGCTGTGTGTAGGGGATGCCACACGTCACCTTCATTCTTACCACGCACAGCCGCAGAGCTGTCCCACACGGCCCCTACCCGGGACCAGCGGGGCACCGGTGCCAGGCAGGGTCAGGCACACTTGCCCTTGCGAAGGCAGAAGGGCAGCTCTGGCACAGGGACCAGGATGGTGCTGAAGATGGGCCGGTAGCCTTCGGGCAGGACCTGGGGGTGCTGAGCCATCATTTCCAGCACCACGTGCCGCACTTCCTTGGAGACGTCACCGCGGATATCCAGCAAGGTGGAGATGTGCTCATCGCTGGGCAGAGAGCCAGGGGTGAGCCTGGGCACTGCTCGTGTCCTGCACAGCTCCCCCAGTCCAGAGAAGCCAAGCCAAGGCCAGGGGAAAACTGGTACTGGTCACCAGGCAAAGTAGCATTTTCTTGAAAACAATCCCCCCAAACCTTTTGAATTTGTTTTTGACATTTCTAATTTGGTGTTTAGTCACTTTTCACAGTTTGTTTGGCCACCAAATACAGATGTGCAAATGCCACGGCAGAACTGCTGGTTTTTTTCACACCTTTGCCCTTGGGACTTTTCAAGAACCCTTCAAATCTGGAGCATGGGAAAAGGAAACCTCAGGGAGAAGGGGGTAAAGGCTCAGGTTTCTGCCTGCTCTCCTGTGCCACCTCACAGCATACAGCCCAAGACTGTCTCTCCCGAGCAGGCTCACCTATCCCCTCCTGCAGGGAGTACCTTACCTGACATCGGGGTACTTGTTGATGAAGCCCAGCACCTCCAGGCTGAGTAGTGCTGGGTCTTTGAGGCAGATCAGCTCCCGCAGGGCAAAAACAGCCTCCAGGCTCTGCTGGCTCTTGTCCAGGCCCTGGGAGGGAAAGCAGCCAGGTGTGAGACCCAGAGGAGGTCACTACAGTGGCTGGGGATACAGCTGTATCCTCAGTGCCTACGTGGGCCCTGAGCCCATGCAGCTGTGTCTTCCCATTCAGCATGTCCCTCCCATCAGGAGCTGCTGGGCAGGGTGATGGTTCCCAGAGTCCCTAATCCAGTCAGTTCCCCCCATATTGGCCTCACAGCCACCCAAGTGTAAGAGCCCCATTTGCTCATGGGCTGTGGGCTGGAGGGGAGCAGGAGGATGAGGTGATGCTCCCTTTCCATGGTGCAGCCCCAGCACCCCACCGCAGCCAGGCCCCTCTCACCAGGCCACAGAAGAGCTCCCGGAGCTGCGTGGCATCCTGCAGCAGGCGGTGGCACAGCTGGCCCCGCTCCTCCCGGCTCTTGCACACCATCTTCTTCTGCAGGAGTGCCCGCAGGTACTGGTTTGCCACCAGGAGCTCGCTCTCCGCCAGCAGGAGCTGGGCAGGGGACAGCTGTTAGTGCTGGCATTGCCTGCATGTCCAGACCCCAGCTCCCCAGAGAAAGGCAGAGGCAAAAGGGATTGATACAACACCAAGCTATGGGAACAATCTCCTGGGAAGCTCCTGGCCGAAGGGACAGAGAAAACAGCTGGATTTAGGGGAAGCCCTGAACATCTCTGTGTGGCAGTGCTCTTTGGACTCTCCGGAGGACAGAGACTCTCCAGTGCTCCCAGCATCCTGCACCCCAGCACGACCCCCCACTGCCCAGCCTCCCTGTCCCACAGACAGGCAGTTTGAAGGAGGTACCGTGAACAAGGGTTTCCTGACGCGGGAGAAGTTCTTTGCATACTTGTCAATCACTTCACACATGCTGCCGACGAGCTGGGACCCGGAGAGCCACTTGCGGGAAGGCAGCTGCAGGCAGAGGGGCTGAAGGGAGCAAAGGAGCAGTGTCTGTGCCCTGCATCACCGCAGAGCTGCCAGCTCACGGCACCACAACACCCACACCTGCTGCCTGGCACCACGGCTGCTTTGCCTTGCAAAGCCCCCAAGCCCCTGCTTGGGGCCAGCCAAAACTCAGTGTAAAAACAGCAGAGTGGTTAAGGTTAGCAAATTATGGAAACACTGGGGCTGTCCCTCCCTGACACCCTAAGAGCCTCATTTTGGGGCTTTATCTGGGTCATGATGTGCACCTGAGGTGTGAGCAATGAGCTGTTCCTCACACACTTGCTTTTTGGCCTGTCCTGCTGTGATTTTATTTTTAATTTCCACTCCACTTCCTTTGCGTAGACATAACATGTTTTTTGATTTCCTACTCCTGCCCTGCTGTCCTTGCCTGTCTTCCTGCTTGCAGGCACATACTCCTGTTTCTGCTGGGGCCACTGCTGCCTGCAAGCTCTTTACCCTTTAGCTCTTCCTTTGTTTTCATGGTATTCAAGCCCTAAATAGTAATGTTGTTAATTATTCCAGGTTTTTGGTCCAGACTCCAGGAAAGCTAAATTTGACTACACTAGCAGGAAACGACTCAGGCAGTTGCACATGGATTTGTATCCTCCACACAGACTTTGCTGCTCTCCAGCTGGTTTGCTGCCATGGAGCAGCCAGAAGAAGGAGCGTGAGGCAGCTCGGGGGGGTTATGGCTCCTGGTCTCTGTCCGTTAGTGATTTGGGGGCCATGAGCCATCTGCCCCAGCGATACGGGGTGGTGCTGTTGGCGACAGACATCGGGTGGTTTATCAAGGTCTGGGGACAGGCTGGCAGAGATGTCTGCAAGGTGATAGCAGGGTACAGAGTACATGGCAGGGACCCTGGGCAGGAATAAACTTGAGCCTGGGGTGCTGCAGTAGGGCTGTTCTTGCTGAGTTCAGCTTTGTTGCAGCCCTGTCAGCCTCAGGTGCTGGACCAGCATACCTGCAGGTCCTGGAGCAGTTCTTCCAGCAGCAGCTGGGTGGCTTTCTTCTGCATCCTGTCTAGAGCAGCCTGGAGGGATGCAGGGACTTCTCTGCAGGCAGTGTCAGGGTGCAGGGAGGAGACAGAATTGCTAGGAGAGAGAAGAGAGGGTACAGGTAGCCTGGGAAACATAGTGGGAACATTGGTCCCAGGCAGGATGGGGGTGAGTGTTGCAACAAGAGCTACCAGCTGCTGGTGCAGGTTACCTGAGAGCCAGGTTGTTGTTGAGCACGGCCAGCAGGTGGGAGATGTAGTACTTGGGAACGGCCCGGTCCTGCTGGTGCTCCTTCCCGCACTGCACCAGGGCTTCCCGCAGGCTGCAACACAGCGAGGCAGCTGTGACGTGCAGGCAGAGTCCCAGGTGTCCCACCACAGGCACTTGGCCCTGGGATGCTCCTGGGGACACATGGACCTCCCACAACCCTCCCAGTTCACTTGGCTCCTTTCAGATCCTGCCACCAGGTTGGAGAGTGACAGGTTGTTGGACAGGGTGGGACAGGGGACCCATTCTGGACCCCCTGGGGAGGGCTCAGCACACAAACATTTGGGGCAGCAGGCCCAAGAGCTGATGCCCCCTGAAGGCTGAGACAGCAGCCCCATGGGAAGACAGGCTGTTGAGCCTTCTGTGACCTGGATGAGCATTGGGTGCCCCACAGCAGATCTCTACCACCAGCCTGTGATGCTTAGCCATGACCCCAGGGTCTGTGAGGGTGGACAGGTATGTGAGTGGCTCCACTGACCGACCCAGGAATGCCTCAAGCTCCTCCAAGGCCATGTTGTAGATCTTCTGCTGCAGAGAGTCGGTGATCAAGGAAGCTACCTGGATGTTCTCATTCAGCATCTGCAGCAGAAGAGGAAAGTGGAGGTGATTCAGGGGGAGCCTGCAGGCCACGGACACCTTTTTGGAAGGTCTCAGCATGGCCATGCCCCATCTGTACCCATGTTCTTGGGGTCCCACCTGCATGACAATGGCAGGCAAGGCTGACTGGAAGAAGCCTTGATGGTCTGTCTCAGGTTCCTCTTCCCTGAACCATTCCTTGAACTCCACCTCCAGGGTCCTCTGCATCCACTCGAACACGCTAGCCTGCAGGATGGACACCCACCACAGGCAGCCCAAGAAGCCAAATACAGACTCCCTTGAGACCAAACATAGCACAGCAGCGAATCCTGGGCCTCATCCCAGGCTCATGGTCTGCAGCTGCTGTCAGAGCAGATTCTTGGCTCAGTGGGAGTCACTGGGTCCCCATCCCGCTCACTCACCTTGACTTTCATCACATATCTCCTCTCTGTTTGATCCACAAGCTCAGAGGACATCAAGGGATCCAGAGCAGAAACATCCACTTCTGGGAGGAGGTCAGGGTGACCCATCATCTCTGGGCTGGAAGGCAGAAGTGAGGCAGAGCTGGGAAGGCCTGTTTTCCAGGAGTTCCCACCCATCCCTCTGCCCTCCTGGTCGTCACCCCCTGGCAGCCAGGGACACTCTCCCAACCCATCCATGAGCTGGTGAACAAGCCAGCTCTCCACAGCATCCCGCTTGTTGGTGCTGGGGTTGGTGCTGACCTGTGGTACACACGGAGCGCCCACTCGAGGAGGAGGAAGAGTCCCTGTTTGTCCAGGTCCTCCCGCAGGATCTCCTGGAGGTGGCTGGTGAGGGCCTGGTGGTAGGTGGCAGTGCAGACGCTGAGGATGTTGTAGTGAGCTGGGACGCACTGGACCATCAGGTCCTTCACCACACGCAGCTCAGACACGATGTCCTTCTGCAGCGCTGCCAGGTGCTTGGCCAGCCCTGGCCCCTCAGCATCCATGCGGGGAGCATGGAAATGGGCTCCTGTGATGGTGTCCTGGAGGACCTGGTAGAACTTCTGCCTCCAGCCCTTTGGACGTCCAGGGGGCAGGAAGGTGGCCTCCAAGAGCAGAGTATCATCTATTTTCTCCTCCCGCTCGATGATCCTCACAGCAGTGACAAAGACAACGGGGTCCTCACGCACCAGCCGCAGGCTGCTGCCCACAATGTCCCACAGCTGCTTGGCCAGGCTCTCATTGAGGTCCTGCAGGCCACCAAAGTAGGACAGCACAGTTGCCTGGGCGCTAGAGAGCCCGCGGAGGTGCAGCTGGGAGAGGATGTCATCCCGGAGTTGTTCCACCATCATGAGCTCCACGTGGGCCTCCAAGAGATGCTGCCCATGGAGCAGCTGCAGGATATGGGAAAAAACCTCATGGACTGTGGGAGAGAGATGCCAGCACTGAGTGTGGAGATGAAGGGGTTTGCACCAGGAACATAGATGCAGGTTATCAAGGACATGGTGAGGGAAAGGTCTGGGGCTCTGGCAACACCATTGGATCAGGCCCTGGGGAAGCAGGGATACCTCCATTCACTCAACTGGCAAAGCCTGAGTGACCTGCTCAGGCTTTACCACCAGCCCTGCATAGAGCCTGCGATTGGACTGAGGTTTCCCCCTGTGCTTTCCAGCCCAAATTGACCAGGATTGGGGCGGTGCCTTACCCGAGAAGATCTGGGGCAGCACCTGGACCACTGAGGCCAGCTGCACATGCTCCTCCATCAGCTCCCTCATCTGCTGGAGGCCCTGGAAGTGGTCTGCGCTGTCGAGCAGGGCCCATCGTGCAGCCCCCAGGTCCTGGCACACGCTCTGCACCTCCTGGGCCGCCGACCGCAGCTGCTCCAGCCCTGCACTTACCCCCTCCAGGTAGGACTGGACAGTTGACTGGGGAGCAGAAAAGGATGGAGGGGCAGTGGAGCAGCTCCAGAAGGCAAGAGAACTGTACACTGTTTGCCCCAGCCCTGCATGATCTGTATTGCAGGCACTCTCCCAGCCCCTCAAGGTCCCGGATAAACAGTCATCAGATGTCTCTTTCAGTTTTAAAAGGTTACTTTGTTTCTGCAAAAGAGTAGTGGGTCACAGGCTCCCATGTTCCCCCAAGGCATGAAGGGCCTCAGTGGCTATATAAACCCTCCCCCCAGATGGAATGCCATCGTTTCCAGCCCTGCAGTGGCACTGGCACATCTTCATGCCCTATCCACTCATTTAACTCCCTGTTCCTGGTGCCAAGAATCACCAGAAGCAAGTTGCTTTCAGTGAGGCCTCCCAGACAATTAATCCAGAGTCAGAAGAGGAGAAACTATCTCTAAAATTATCAGGAGAAAGTTGTGGTGCTCAGACTGATTCAGTCCTGAAGTTATTGATTTCCTGGGTCATGCAAAAGGGGAGGTGGGTGAGGAGGGAGGTGTGCAGAGGGACTGTGACAGCCCTTACAAATGTGTAGAGACTGAGTTTTTCCCTGTGGAGACCCACAGGCAGGGGCAGGTTGGAGCTCTGTGCCTCCTCCCAGCTGTGGGGCAGGGTGGCCTTCGGGGCTAGGACGGGGCATTGATGGGGTGCACCGAGTCCTGCTCATGGAATGTGCTCAACCCCCTTGTTTTATATAGAAGGATGGTCAGAGACACAGAAGACTCCTTTTAACACTTCAGACACTGCCTGGGGGTAAGGCAGAGGGTGAAGGGAGCCTTCTCCCCCCAGTAATTGCACTTCACCCAAGCGACAGCCAAAGGCAAAAGTTTTGTCAAAAGAGGACATAAAGAGGATTCATCACGCAAGAGGGGATGGCTGGGATCCCTGCCTGAGGAGGGTGTGTGGCTGCAAGTGTCCATGGGATGGGCAAACACACACCTTCAGCCGGGACTGGATGGAGCTGTTCCTCTGTGTCTCTCGTCTCCGGTAATGCCCGAGCCCCTCCAGTTTCTCGGGGCGGTAGAAGACCCCCGAAGCCCATTTCAGAGCAGCTCCTCTCGCCAGCTTCTCAGCCTTCTCTGCTTCCGGCCACTCCTCATCTGAGGATGAAGCCAGGGGTCAGTGAGCACAACCAAGTGGGCAGGAAGGGCCCCTGAGGCCAGAGGCAGGAAGCTCGCTGCCGGTGGACTTCCAAGCACACACAGATGTGGGAAGCCGGGGAGCATGGCACCAAGAGGGTCCTTCCACAAGGGCCCCCCAAATGCCACCAGCATGGCCCCAGGTTGTCACAGCTGCTATGGCAGCAAAAAGGCTGCCCTGGAATGCTGTGACTCAGTCTGCCAACTCAGGTTGTCCCCAGGCTGAGTGCACGTCCCGGCTGCTCCCCCAAACACAATGCCGGGCTGTCTAAGGGGGTCCTTGGGAACCTGTCAGCAGGGTTGAGACTCCAGCAGTGAGTCAGCAGGAGGGATGGGGAGAAGGCAGCTCTCGCAGGAAGGAGAGCCAGGCTAAGGTGAGGATTGGAGACTCCTGGTCTCCCCAAAGCACCCACGCAGCTGTGTCCCCCTTGACGCAGGGTCTGAAGCCATGCCAAAGAGTTCCTGGCCACAGTGGAGGGCTGAGAACTAGCACAGTTATCACACACCATTCACAGTCCCCAGTGCTTGGTTTCATCATTCCCCCGCTCCATCCCATTCCCAGCCACTCCCTGCAGCCCCGCGGGGCTATCATCCAGTGCCAAGCCAGGCTCCTGCCCTGCTGGGGAGCCACTGGCGGCCTTGGGGACCAGAGGATTAGGGAGGAGGACAGCAGCTTTGAGGATAAGATGTACGGTGGATAGTATTGCCCCGGCGCAGGCATCACCATCAGAAAGCACAGCCAAATTGCCACCCCGCAAGGACGCAAGGCACCAGCCCCGGCACAGGGAAAAGGTCCCGTAGGGCGGAGGGGGTAGTGAGCCGAAGGGCAGGGGAATCCCCAAAATGTGCTGCAAGCAGCAGCATCCCTTCCCTGCCCAGCTCGCCGGCTCCCGGGGCGCATCATCCCCGTTACCTCTGGGGCTGGCGGCGCGCTCGTCCTCCGCAGACATGCCCATGGTGTCCAGGCTTCGCGGAGCTGCGGGGCCAGGGCAGGGCTGCGGAGGAAGCCGGCTGCCGTTTCCTCAGCCGGAGCAGCCGCGCTCCTCACGGCCTCATTGTGTTCCCGCAGCCGCGCTCAGGACGTCAGGAACGGGGGGCGGAGGGGAGGGGGGACACGGGAAGGCACCGCGACAGACGGAGGTCTGGGGAGTAGAAATCACGGAATCAAAGGATCATTTAGGTCGGAAAAGCTCTCTAAAATCATCGAGTACGAACCGTTAACTGCCAAGCCCACCACTAAACCATGCTCCTAAGTGACACATCCACATGCCTTTTTAACATACCCGGGGATGGTGACTTCACCACTGCCCCGGGCAACATTTTTCCAGTGTTAGACCATCCTCTTAATCAAGAAATTTCCCCTACTATCCATTCTAACCCTCTCCTGACTCAACTCGAGGCCATTTCCTCTCGTCCTGGAGATCACACTCTGTGTACCCCCACCGGCACCCCTTGTTCTGCGGGCACTCAGCCCTGTCCGTGCCAGCAGCGCTGCGCCCTCGCACCCACCCTGGCTCGGGGAGGATAGCGGGGTGTCAGACCCCAGCCCATCCACAGTGGGAGCCCTCTCGAGACTGGATCCACCATGGAGGGGTGCGCTGTGCAGCCTGACCCGAAGGAGAGAACGTGGGCGTGGACCCTCCATGGCTGTGCGTGGACCTGGAGATGTGTCCCTGCCACAAACTGCCTTCCCCAGGCACAGGCTGGAGGATTCCCCCGGCACTGGGTGTGCTGGAGCAGCAAACCGCCCCTGTCACCCAGGCGCTGAGAGCTGGCTACACGGCTGAGGTTTGGCTTCGGTACCACGGGGCGGGGGTTTGGCACCACAGAACGGCGAGGGGATGGACGCACCCCCGGCTTTACCCGGGAACCCCGGGGGGAACCCCCAAACCGACGGGGCTGACGGAACACCGGGAGCAACGCGGAACAGCTCCCAAGCCCCGGAGGCGGTGGGGGGGAGTCCCCCGTCCCCGCCCCGCCGCCGTCCCCGCCCCGGAGGTTCCCGGGGAGCCCCGCGGCCCGGAAGCGGATGCGCGGCCCCGGAGCCGGCGGCGGGCAGATGGCGGAGTGCGGGGCGCAGCCCCCCGGGGGTGGCAGCGGGGCTGCGGGCGCGCCCAGCCGCCACGAGAAGAGCCTGGGGCTGCTGACCACCAAGTTCGTGTCGCTGCTGCAGGAGGCCAAGGACGGCGTGCTCGACCTCAAGCTGGTGCGGGGGCAGCCGGCGGCGGGAGAGGGCTCCGCTGCTCCGGGGGTGGGCTCGGGGGGAGCGGCCGCCGGGAGAGCGGGGCTCCGGCGGGACCGGTCCCCCCGCGGCTGGAGCAGGTTTGGAGGGGGAGAACGCGGACATGGCAGCGCCCGGTGCAGCAGGTGGTTTAGATTGGATTCCAGGAAAAATTTCTTCACGGCGAGAGTGGTCAGGCACTGGTGGAGTGGGCTGCCCAGGACAGCTGTGGAGTCACTGCCCCTGGTCAAAAGGCTTGTGGATGTGGTGCTTAGGGACGTGGTTTAGTGCTGGAGTTTAGTGGTTGGGCTCGATGATCGTGAAGGGCTTTTCCAGCCGTCCTGATCCTCTGTTTGTAGGTGCTCGGAAAGCGGGGTCCCTGGGGGTGCGGCAGAGCTGCGGACCGTGCACAGAGGGCTCTGCATTGGCCGCCCTCCTGCCCTTCTCCCCCCTCCATCGGGTCGTCCCAGGCATTCTTCTTTCCCCAGGACCTTGCCAGACATTGCAGGTGTTTGTGGGCTTCAGTTGCAGACCCATTTGACCGTCTTGTTCTCATCTGTGTTCTTGCCCTGCACTTATCACTGGCACCATAATGATCCGGCCCTGCACAGCCTCAGACATCTACAGAAACAGATACCTATAGAAACTGTCCGTACGGCACTTAACCCTCCCGGCACACACCAGGAGGGGGAGTGTGGTCAGAAACACCTGCCAGAGGTTGTTCCCGATGCCTTTAGGCAGTGGAGAAGTGCTCTGTGAATGCATCTTGCTTCTGTATTTTCAAGATCTTCACCTAGAGGAAGTAACGCTGTGCCATGTACAGTACTTAATCTCTGGCCTTTCCTGTAGGGGAAGTTCCTTTGCTGTGGTTTATATAAGCACCTCTTACATGGGCACATGTGTGAGACAGACAAGTGCCAGAAAGCCCCAATAATGCAGGAGTTTCCTGGCTCCATGCCTGTGCCAAATTGTTTTCTCATTGGATTTGACAATATCTTTCTGCTTCAAATGTCCATTAAGTGGATTCATGTTGGTTAGTGTGATTTGTGTAATTGTGTGGTGTAGGGTCTCCAAAATCCCAGCCTGTCACTGGTGGGTGACAAGGACATGGTTCCTATGCTGATCTGCTCTGACTGCACTGCCACAGACATTGTTGGTCCTGGCTGTGTGCACATTAACTCTTGCTGGTGCTAGGTTGCCATGTGGTAGTGGAAACAGTGCCATTCCTCGAGTCCTGAAACCTGAGGGGAAAAGGGTCGTGTGAGCAAGACAGGGAAGCCCCAGGGTTGCTCATGTTTACTCTCCTTCTGGAATCATGTTTTCAAACAGAGAAATCTCTTGAAGAGATACTGATTCTTGGTCATGTGGCATCAGATCAGCTTTAGAAAAGTCTTTATGAATGTTGATTCCACTGGAGTGTTGCGCAGACAGCTCTCAGCATTCCCCTTCCCATCTCCATCTCTACCCTGAGGGAGAGATGGATTTTTAGGCTGCTGAACCACTGTTTTCTAGTATTGCTTTGCTATTGTAGAATGGTGATTTTTGGATCCACTGCCAGCAGGATTGCTGGAATTTGATGTGTGTTTAGTGGGGAGGCTGTGGGGAAAGAAAAAAAGAAGAATGAGTGACTTCTTCTCATGGTCATGAGATCAAGAACGTGGCTATGTAACTTGAAGCGCTGGAACGGGAGAGCTATGAAATGGAGAGCAAAGTACTTGGCCAGGAGTTAATCTGACAGGCAGAAAGGAGCTAAACATGACTGAGAATTAAGTATCTTAACCTTTTTCAGGCTGCAGATACCTTGGCTGTGCGACAGAAGCGACGGATCTACGATATCACAAATGTCCTGGAAGGCATTGGGTTGATTGAGAAGAAGTCTAAGAACAGTATCCAGTGGAAGTGAGTGGCAGAGATGATCTAAATCGTTCACAGGTCCCTTCTAGTGCAGGTTTAAGTGACAGTGGGATTAAAATGCCCTGTGCAGAGAGAGGTTTCTCAGTGGTCCATGCTCTTGCCTCTCCCAGCTGGGCTGAGGAAAGCTGAAGTATGTATGGTGTCTTTCTTACAGCAAAGGTGTTATTTTGGTACAAATTAAATATTTGCACTGCCTTGGGCTAGAAAATATGCCTGTCATGGCACTGGAGGTGGGGAAGAGTCCTGCTAGACTGTGGGAAGTAGAAAGATGTACCAAACATTGCTGTGCTGGGAGGTGGGGATCTAGAGCAGGTACACAGACATGGCTTTCCAGGCAATCTGGCATTGATGTTTGACACAGGTGGGAATAAGAGGCTGGCAGAGAGGTTGGGGTTGGTCTGGGTGCTTCCAGAGGCTGATACATTTCACCCATTTTTGCTTTACTCAGGGGGGTGGGTCCTGGCTGCAACACACGTGAAATAGCTCACAAACTGATTGAGTTGAAGGCAGACATTGAGGACCTGGAGCAGCGGGAACAGGAGCTGGAGCAGCAGAAGATGTGGGTTCAGCAGAGCATCAAAAATGTTACAGAAGACATGCAGAACAGTCGATATCCTTTGTGTGAACTGATGGCTCTGTCTCTGTCTTCACTTGCTGGGCTGGGAAGCAGAGACCTGAGGGTTTGGTGTTGCTGGTGGAGAAGCTGCACTGAAAGGGTCAAAAAGAAAGGCACGACCTTGGTTTGAAATTAGGGTAACTGTCCAGCCTGGAGACCTGCTTTTCTCTGCATACAGCTTCTCCTCTGGCTTTTGGAAATAAAAAACACAGTAATGTTTACCACAGTGAGAGAAGTGCTTGTTTCTGAGTCACAGGTGCCACTTTCTTGAGTGTAGAGCAGCTCTTGTGGCTTAACTGTGTCAGGATGTCAGCTCTTTCAGTCATGGAGCTTGCAGACCTCACCTGCAGACCACTTCAGAGTGTGGCATGGAGAGCCTTCTGACAGTGGTGTTCCATGTGCTCAGGAAGGAAACACCAGGTGCCCTTTGAGCTCTCTGTCTGTGCAGGAAGCTGCAGCCTTTCTCCTTAACCTTGGGAACATTAGCATATGTGACACATGAAGATATCTGCAAGTGCTTCACAGGTGAGGAAATGGTGCTCCATTGTAAAGATGTGATGCTGCAGACCTGTCAGTCTGTTCCAGCTGCTCTCTTTTGTCCAAGAAAGAGTGGGCAGCCCAACAGCATAAAGTGAAATGTAATGTCAGCTTTGATACTGTTCTGGGTTTGTGTACCACTGTGTTGTAGTTTTCATGTCTCCATTAGAGTGGACAGGCCATATCTTTTACTTTTGCTTAAAGGAGTAGGGATGCTGCTCCTAAGGAAGTGTTCTTGCTGGGTTTCACTCTGCGGGTGTATGTGTTATGTTAGAAGCCCTTAATTTTAAGGGCTTGGGTGGGCAATGTTCTAATGTCAAGAAACAAATTTTATTGCACAGTAGAAATGGTGTAAGCAGGGAAATAGTATTAAAAGTGTTCCCTCAGCTACATCATTTCTCCTGCCAACAAGAATGCAAGAAGGAGACAGTGGAGGACAGAAGGGAATGCACCACTTGCTCTGCCCTCACTCCCTTCATTCCTAAAGTTTGGGGTGGCCTGTATCAAAAGTCCTATGTTCTGTCTGGGCAAAAGTGAAGAAAACCCACAGGAGTCTTTGTTTCTTCTGTTGCCAATTCTAATGGTAGATATAAGACCAGATTAATGCCTGGTGGCCAGCATGCAGTGGGACAGCCTCAGTGCATGAACTGCTCTTCCCAGCTGTAGTGGTGCAAAGTCACAGCTCC